GAACCAGCATTGTGTGACTAATTGTGCCGCAGATTGGTACCCTCTGAGTCACAAATGGAAATATTAACAACACACTTAATGGCCTTACCGCCTACACTGTAAGCAGAGATCACCACTCAGGCCTATCAAAAATGCGGTCGATGTTGTTTATGAAGACCCGGGTTATTCGCATTGAATCCTGAGTATGTATTTTCTACAATTTAGTCTGTACCATTTGACGTTGAAGAATTTACAAATTGCATATCAATTCATTAATAACGGAACAGGTAACATTAAATTTGTTACATTTTATGTAAAATAAGGTAAGATATAAAGCACATTTATGGAAAACGATCCACAAGCGAAATACGGTGTTTTTTTTTAAATTTCCTAAATGAACTTTTATGAAAATCTCGGCGGTTTTACATTATTCGTTGTTTTCGGCTCTCTTGCCTCCCACCTGTGATGCAAGAACATTCAACATATTCGGCATTTGACCGTCAAATATGACAGGTGGTTTAGCGGCGTCAGCATTCACGTCAAACCTGAAAGTCATGTGAAGTGGGAACTTAGGATTTATTAGGGTTAAACATGGTGTTCAAAACATGGAATGAATGCGAGTATTTCAGTCGTTGTCAGATGAAATGAGCAGAGGTGGCAAAATGCATTATAGTGTTTTAGCCTGCAAAACATCATTGTCTACTGACTTTGCTCCACCGAGGTAATGCATAAAAACCGCACTAATCGACAGCAATGAATGGAGAAAGCAACGGTTTAAGAGCCACTCTCTAGAGATGACACACATGCGGGGCAATCATGGAAACTCAGTGGCGTGGGGTCTCTGAAGCAGGCGTAGGCGACGCCCTAGCAAGTCGCTAGCGGCTTGTCGAAAGCCTTAAAAAATATTGCTTGTAGTTCTTGTGAGATGTCTTCATTCGTAAGCAGTCTGCCACAGAAAAAAAATAATAAACCGGTTATGGGTTGTACTTAGAATATCGGTACTGTGGTACCGTGTGATACCTTAGGTATTCAGGTTTTCCAGTTTTTAGCTTTTCTGTTATAAAAATTAACATATAATGTGTATTTGCTTAATAAAATAATACTGTTGTGGTTTAAAATTTTTCAAATAAAATAACAACTAAATTACAGTGATCCATTTAAGTCGGAGAGCTGATAGTCGCATATTTGATGATTCAATAATCCCGTCAATGTAAATTCGTTACATGTACGAGTGCACGAAAATGGATTTTATTAATTGAGTACACTTCTTTTCAAAAGAAGTAACTTTAAAATAATTTTTTAAATTTGGATTAACTTTAGACGCTGCAACTTTAATATTTCCTTAATTTCATTGTACTTTAATGTTAAATGATTTTTGGCATTAAATTTTCAATCGTTGTAAAGCTTTAACCTATTTCCTGTGTTCAGATGCTAAATAATAATTTTAAGTTACGAATAGAAGTAATTTAACAACGGTTTAATTTTCTCACAACGTAAATTCTGACAGATAAGCTTGTTTAAATACAAAATCAACTGATAAGTCATACTCGATTTTTTAAAGGGGTATTTCATGACCTTCCGTGTTCTAAAAAAATTTGTTTAAGGTGCCAAACTTCCCCATGACAACTTGATTTATTGCACATAAATTTTTCACCACTGATTCCTCGGCTCTGTTCATGATATCACGCTATTGACAATATCTCGAAGGCAACAATATCTTACAGTCACGCCATTTTTGTGTTTACAGTAATAACTCACCTGACTAAGATCGTCCGGGCATTTACATTATTGTGCAACTGAACGTTCGCTAGAAATTTGGTTTATATAGCAAAAACTATCCATAGGGGCTTGATTTGTCATGTGCTGAGAAAGTGGAGCTTACGTAAGGCAAGTAAATTGCGTCGTGCGTGTTTATTTCTTGAGAAAATAGTGCCGTAACCTTTGTTAATTGGCCGTTGTACACAAAAACACTTTTGCTGAAGCAAAATATCAAAATGTCTTTCATGAGTTTGGCAGTTATGTCCCTTGCCATCCGAACTTAGACTGTTTTTGTAAGCTATTTAAATATTACTGCATATTCGTTTTGTAAACTTAATGTAAAAAATAATCGATCAGTGTTTACAAATTTTACGATTAGAAACATGGAGACTTTCATGGTCATCGAAAAAAGCGTAAAAACGCAAGTCCTGACAAGAGCTCAATCTACCGGTGGTCAGCCACCGAAATTCATTCCACCTGTGCAGAATCTCGACACATAATTTTTCAAGAACAAGTTAGTTAAATCTAAAGTACGGCGACAAAAGTAATTGTCGGGCTGCGATCTCAAAAAGAAATTAAAAACAACTCTTAAATCAGGTAGACTAATTTAATGCGTCCTTTGACGAGAATCAATTGAATATGAGTTAATTTGAATTATTTACGCAGTCGTAGGTTTGTCCTCAAATTGGGATTATATCTTACTCAACAACACAAGGACAAGTGATATTTTTGTGTGATCAGTCGATTGTGGCTTCTCCTGTTGTGAATCGTGTTTATTCACATTCCTTAACCTGGTCGCACCATTTTCAATCACAAGGTTCCTCTTTTCGCAGTATGGCGCATCTTTAACTCCCCATCATTCGCAAGAATATTAATCTTGGAATTTCCTCACACCTAGGTCCCGATGATAGCGCATGTATGACTCACGCATCTGAGGTATAAATATACACGCCCAAATGCCACACACGACACAACGACACCAGCATGGTTGAGCTCTGAAGTAAACGCCTGTGTCCACGTCTTCTCCGATCTTTTTCTTCATCGCGGATATCAGGGAAGTGTAATAGGGCCACGATTAGTTCAGTGGCCCAGACGTGGTTCATGACCACACGCTGGGGTCCACAACACTTTCACTCTTTTTGTTCAAGTGAGTATGGTCTTTGCTTAATCAATGTAATCAGCTTTCAACATGAGCTTCCGACAAGAGGTGGTGAAATCAGTGACGAAAGCTATACATAATGTAATTAATGTACTGTTTCATGTATAAGTGCGTTTATTACCTCTGGGGAATGTGCATGACTTTCATAGTTTTTGAGCTAGATGCATGATTCTCCTATGCTATTAATTTCGATTCAAAGCTCATTATTAATATTTTCAAACGCCTCCTCGATTCACATTCTGTATGACCACCTAACTCAGGTATAGCAAGAATAGAAATGTTTGCCACCGTACTTTCAAGTTTGTGCACAAGCAATTGTCGTAGTTAATTTAAAATAAAGCTTTAAGCAGGAAAAATGGTTTGCTGTGCACAAAACAAGTCTGCTTGCATCGATGAAAAATGGTTTACTGTGATTTTCGTTTTCAGCAGAGTTATCAAAAAGATATCATGCTCCATGGCTTTGATTATCAGCAAACCTTTTTATATATGCTAGCATTGAACTGTAAATTAAGCATGTGTTAAAAAATGTTTTTTTATTCTAATATTTTTGTTGAGATATGTAAAATGACATTGCGCGCTTTTAAAAACTTGGCGCATTGTTCAAGTTAGTTTAGAAATCTACCCCATCTGAATGTGACGTAATCCCTCCAGCTAGCAGAAGGTGTGTCCACTTTTACTTTGCGACGGCCGAATTTCAATTAATTAATATTCGATGGCTTTGGTTCTTCAGCTTTACTCAATTGTGTGATTCTGTCTTTTTAATTTTCAACCGCAGCGCCGTTATGCTTTGAAACTTGAGGAGCACTTTTTGAATAATCTTAAAATTTCGTTTTATATTTTTGTCGTGGGTGTTTGAGTTTGAAAGTTGGGACTGATCTTTGTTTAATCCACAATTTTCTTATTTGCTTTTTATGTGTTTATATGTTCCTTCCAATTGAACAATTTTCTGTCGCGGCGTTTATGTAAATATTTGAAAACATCTCAGGTTCATTATGAAATATCCTCCAGAAGTCTCCGAGGAAATACATATATAAGTTACTTTTTTGAAAAAAAGAGAAGTATGTTTTATCCAGCTTTGTGATTTCGCTAGTGGCAATCACTACGCTGAAACTGCGTTTATATTTTTTCCAATTTTTCTTCTTTATGTTAGGCAACTCAAAGAAATGTTGGAAGAGGTAAAATGAATTAAGCTTTTCGATTATCACTGTTATTTTGGGAGGCATCAATTTGTATATGTCCGTTTCTTGTCATAACCACTCCACCTTTCTATACGCATCTGCTACGCACCGAGGATCTTATGCTGACAAAATCTTTATTTCTGTATCTAGGTGCATTTACTAGGACATAGTTTTCCTGTTATTGATGACAACGTGAGCATTTTCGGAGTTGATGGGCCAGTGCTGTTGCATTTTGACGTCGGTGAGTGATTACGTTTGCGTCTTGGTTACCCTTGATCACACAGCTACTTCAAATGCCTGTTTTGACCTTAACTCCTGCAATTTGTGCATTAAAATCTGTGCAGTTGCTTTCAATTGCTCATTCTTATCGATAATTCCCCGCTAAACCATCGTAAATATAATCCTAGCATGCCTTTTGTTAATATTGGATATCAATATCCCTTCTTTTGCTTGACGCTTATTGCGTGGGTGTGTGGGTACTCGCCCTGAACCAATAGTGTAGCACTCTGGTGTGTGCTGTGACAATAAATGCGTTGTCTTGCTTAATCAGGTTATTCTACCCTCATTCGCGCAGCACTGCAATCAAGCACATTCAGTAAAATGGTATGCTTTGCATTGAGCATTTACTTTTCGTTTAACAGGCAAATATTGGTTTTATTTTCTATTAGGTCATGTGCGTTTCTCACCTTTATATTTTAAGTGACACCTTTGTTCATTGTATAATCAACACGTTTCCACTAGCTCCCTGTTTGACAAGCAATACTGACCTATGACCTTGTTCACATTCGACTACCTCGTGAAAAGCAACGTTGTGTATATGTAAGAATAAGAATTGAGTCTGCAGCCTTAGCATATCTGAAAATTACTGTCAACTTAGCCTCTTAATTATCGCTATTTTAGTAAAGCTTCCTAATCGCTACCAATCTATGCTGCCTGTCGTCGCTTCGTGCCTAAGCGTTAGTTTGTCACGGTTGAATTCATGTATGGCGGTGATTATCAAGCTGGAGTTCCATTGGAGGGTTAATTCGTCCATTTCTTCAGCAGAACTGTATAGTGTGTCGTTTGCTTTTGCTTAAAGCCTTCATGTTTATGATGGTTCTGCCTATTTTGTCGCAAATCATCTGACTTAGCTCCCTTATTTCACGTTAGGCGGCAAAATCAAATCAAAACTGTGATTGTTGGCTGCCAACATTCAGCTCTCAATTTCGCCATTTCTTACATTTAGGCAGATTGAAGTGTACCTGAACTTGCCTATCGAAGATATGTTTTGGCCAGAAAAATGCATTTAAATTCCCTTTTTATGTATTAAACCGGAGTGGATGATTACATTGAAGACAATCTTAACGAAGAATTCCTCGCACTGATATGTACCACCAAACTCCTTTTTTTCTGTTCCAGCTAAATCCCTCTGAGATTTTGTCAAAGAAAAAGGCATTGGTGAAGTTTTTCAATGCTGCTTCAAAAGAGGAAATTTTAAATGTAAGGTCGTTCGCCTCATACATTCTTTCTAACTTTTCGTTGACCCTGCTTGGCGTGTATTAAAACGACGGCGCCTACGTTCTGTCGTGCGGGCTGTAGAATTCAATTTTTTGCATGATTTTCTAATCTGGATGGTCAGAAAATTATCTAGACCTGTGCTAGCTATCGAACCTACCCATACTTTTATGACCCTCTGGTATTCTATATTAAGGCTGTTTGCCAATTTTAGAAATGTGTCATCAAGTGTCTGTGAGAACATAGAATCCTTCACACGAATTGGTTGAGCTAAATATGGGGGAATGGATTAAATTACGCACGCACTTTTAGTAGCCTAGCGCATGCCTGTGGTGTGGTGGAAATGTGTTTTCTGCACTCAAGCCTACCGTAATTAGTAGTGTCACTGGTCGAACATGTAGCGAAGAGATGCATTATCCAGAGTAGGCATTGGTGGGGATTCTTCAACATGATCTTGCATTCCTTTCGCCAATGCTGTATGCCGAGGTCTTGTCTAAACCCCGGAACCCCGCAACACTCACGTAAAACACAGCGTTTTAATTTGTACAAGATTTTCTATCACGTACTTCACAAAGGGGGCTTTGGTTACCGTTGCTGTTCGATTTGCGCAGTGATTGGTTTCGTGGGCTGGAGAACACCAGTCAAGTGTGTAGGTGGCCCCTACTAACAAACCCGCATCTGTAGCTTTTACAACTGTAATGTGGGGGTGGCTGATCACAACAACGGCTTACTTTCTAATTTTATCATTCTCCTAGCGCTACCCGTGTCTGGGTGAGTCTGTGGCGCAGGTTATCGTCGCTAGGCGCCAACGTGCACCGCTGAAACGTCTGAAGGACGTCTGGTATCTTGAGGCCATTCGACAGCAGCTGCTCGCCGAGATTGGCTTAATCGCCGACGACACCAGTCCTCCGTAAGCTGTCCATTTGCCTCTTGCCGGAGGCATTGACCTTAAGCAATTCACCGTCCCAATGACTGCTTATTGATTCAAGGGGAGCGTGCTCTTGTCACTCGCTTGTCATTCTGGTTTGTACGAATTGCTCTCGGTTAACCATGACAAAGCCCCTCGCGATGTCTGTGTTGGCTTGGCAGCGTCTTTATCACTTTCGATCAATTTTGTTGCACGATTTGAAATTATATGATCCTGTTTGGTGGAGCACGATTTTTTTCATCGTAAATTCCACCTTTTCGGGCTGATAACTAACGCTTCTCTCTTTTACACTACTTTGAGAACAGGAAGTGCAGCAAGTAGGGTATCCATTATTTTCAGTGTTTAGGAACGCAGATCGACCTGAAAAATATCTGGTAACAAGTTCATCGCTCTCAGATCGCCATTCTGCGGTTGACCAATCATACTGGCGGCAGCATCACCTTTGATTGGTTGAGCGATATCGCATCCGTTTCCATGTTAACACAGACAGTTGCAGTGTTTCTGACCGTCTTGTCGTCTTTCTCTGTAGACCCGAGGTTGGGATAACCGAGCGTGCTCCTCCTCCGCCGCCTTTTTCCGCCTCTTCGGTGCCCAACGAGTCTCCACGCTTCCCCTTTGGGGATTCGAGTGCTGTAGAACTCTTTCAAGTTCTCAAGGCAACTGGCCTGATTGATAGCTGGGAGAAGTACGTCAATGGTTCGTTGAGCCTCTGCGCCAGCGACAGCGTGCCTGCCAGCACCTATCGACTGGCCACGTGGAACCTGGATCGTATCACTGTTGCCAAGGCCAAGCATCCTGGCATACGGGAGGCTATATGCCTCACGATTCTTCGCCATCAGATCGATCTAATCGCTTTTCAGGAGGTTGTGGAACCCGAGGCTGTACAACTGGTAGTTCATGCCACGTGCACAAAGTCGCTTTTTCTACGCCTACTCATATAACTATAGTAATCGGATTTTTTCTAACTTTAAGATTGTGGATGAAATGAATCTGCCCGTGCTGCCAATGGTGAAGCGCTGGGCGGCCGCCAATCAACAGAAGCACGGCACATGGGCGGCTTTCTCCTCCAACGAAAAGACAGGTCACACCTTCCAGTCCAAGGAGTACTCATCCTTCCTTTATCGATCTGACCGCGTCAAGGCCATCTCTTCACGTGTCCTCGGCGGCACAAACGGAAGCGCAAGACCATTCTCGCGTTCACCCTTCATGGGGAAGTTCAAGGTGCGTGGTGTGTGTAGTCAGCCGCGCTGTACTACCGTGTGAATGGGTCAGCGGCGTTTTTTTCAATGGGTACTTGTATGCCAATCACTCTCGGTAGTAATTCGTTCACTCACAAAACACTTACGCTTAGACAGTCGATGGTTTTGACCCTAAAGTCGTCTGCTGCCGGTGTGTGCTAAACACTGATAGCGATTGTTGTGAATCGTGTTTATTCACACCCCTTAATCCAGTCGCTCCACCATCCGACACAGGCTTCCCCTTGTCGCAGCATGTCGCCAGCCGCGCGGACCCTCAACTCCCCCCTCATTCACCTAGGTCTCGATGTTAGCGCATCTGTGACTCGCAAATCTGAGGTATAAATACACACGCGCAAATGACGCCCACGACGCAGCGACACTAAGGTGGTTGAGCTCTGAAGTAAACGGTTGTGTCCACGTCCTCTCCGGTCTTTTTCTTCGTCGTGCGTATCAGGGAAACGTAATCGCGCCAGGGTTAATTCCGTGGCCCCGGCGTGGTTCAAGACCACATGCTGGGGCCCGCAACAATTGGATGGTGTGGCGATGGTTGGTGTTGGGAAACGATGTCCATCGTCAGTTCTGCAAAATAAGTTTTAATTTTTTAACCCATTTTGTTTCTGCCATGTTTTCTTCCACCAAGTGGACATCTGTTAGGAGAAATCGGTGAATAGTAAATGTGCGTTGTTTTTCCTTTTTGTCGTATTGGTCGCCCTTTTACTGTCAGTATCCATGACACCATACGGCAAACGCGACAATTCAGTCAGTTTGTTTCAACTCGTAAACTGAATTCCAGCGTGCCATTTCAAAATTTCCAATCTAATTGTCGCTAATAAGGCCAGTTTGAGTCGTTGATGGTCGCCGCATTGATTCGATGAGTTTCATTCGCATGACCCGCGTGCACCCAACAAAGTCGTCACATAGTCGTCGTCCAAATCACACCATGGATGCTCTTTTCTGCGTGCAAACTGCTATTGGAATGCCCCGAAATTCGTGTGCTCCGCGTTATCGTCTAGAACGTGTCCGTTTAACCTCAACAATTAATCTCTAGCCACTTAACCTATCATTCTGCGCGTTCTTTTTTTTAAATTGTGATAATGCGCATTTCGATTGGCGGGCGCTCCCTTTGTCTTAAGAGGCCGCGTGAAGAGTGTAGAGTTTTGGCAAATCCCCATTTTTCAAAGCTGATTGGTGGAAGGTTTTACGCGATCTCTGATTCCAAAGCCAAAAGTAGTTGCCATTCGGCACAATGTTTTGGCATTAGTGAGCCCGTCGCAAAGGTCCGTTCAAATTGGTAATCGTCCGTCGCTAGCGTGTAGGTAAACTTGTTAATTTTGGAGTCTTTGTCGGATCTTCTCAAATACGTGATTTTCTAACACTACTTTGTGTCTCCTGATTCAATCTGCTTAGTATATATCGCTTAGGCAGTCGCTGGTTCTCAGTCAGATTGTTTATGATGCATTTCCACGCTTGTCTCACCGCGAAACATCGCTGCCATGAGTAGCTTGTGTGATTTTCTGCAGTGGGCGTCACAAAACAGAGCTAAGGCAAAAAAGACATGACTGCCAGTTACTAAATTCGTTTTATTTGAACGCCAATCAGAACTAAATTTAGTCTCCTAGGCGTTCCCACAGCACAGGGATCCACCGAGGCAGTCGACTGATGCCAGCTTCCTGCGTGTGCTTTCAAGAAAGTCCATCTGATGAGTCTGCGACTAGCTCCTTGTTCGGCTGCGCATTGACCGCTTTTTTTAAACTTATGCATTACTTCAACCGCTGTTGTACCTTCAATAAGGTGACCCCATTGAGGTTCCGAGCGAAATTATCTAAAAAAAGCCGAGTCAACTACACACTCAACGAAGTGTTTATGAAATCCTTCCAATCGTGTTTAGTTACCACACCTGTGGGGCGTGTAATTGTTGTTCTAATTTTTACGCTAAGCATGTGTGCGGTCTTCCTTGTAGCTCAACTCGAGCACTCTGATCCTAACCTCAGTCCACTTGAAGGCGCCCGGTCTTCGGGATTCTCAAGCCGCAGTGACGACTGAAGAAGTCTCCAATCTTGCCGACCTGGTCGATGCCATGAAGGACACCCTTTCGAGTGCGTGAATGTGCATCTCCATTTATGCGTGCAAGTCAAGTCGGATACGCTCAAGAGCTTTATAACGTCCAAACTTGTCATTAACACGTAATTGCTTAGCGATATTTGCCCTTGCGACTTACTGAGCCGTCGTGGTTGGATTTGGTTGAACAGCAGTCTTGGTAATTTGGGGATTCACTAGTGCCAAAGGCTTGCCCCTTCAATTTCGAGACTCAGAAGGTCACCCAGATGCCTGAGAATTTATTTACTGAAAAAAAGTGGCTCTCTTTTCTCAACAAGTTCACTTCAAGATTGTTTTGATGGTGCTAATTAAAAGGAGTGTCTGAGTGCTGTGAAATTCAGTCACTAGTGGCTCGAATAATGCGGTTATGAGCCCTCTTCAAAATGCGAGGGTTCTTTTAACTACTATCCGCTCGTTTTTGGAATTGAACTCCTCCCAATCGCACAACACTCAAAAGCTTTTTCCTGTGTTTTAGGTGACGTCCACTACGCAATCTTGGGTGACTTTAATTTGGACCCGAGCAGTGAAGGTGGGCTTTGTTTCGCATAACCTTCCTTCGAACTGTGAGACGATGAGCTGTCGTCATCGAGGGCATGTCGATAGCCGCGTCACCTATCAACCAGTTCCAGTGTCTGATGCTCGATGCAAGATGTCGCCGCCCCAAGTGGTCATAGCTGTGGCGGAGACACAACTGTTTTGTAGATTTTGTGTGTGTGTGTGTGTGTGTTAGCGTTCAAGGTCGGACGTTTTTATGAGTCTCAAACCAGTAAATGTACAAGTACCTGAACGACAAGATGCGCGTGAAGACGGGAAAAGGGCGTCTTAGTTGGCGGCGGCAGAGTCGAGGGTTGTGAACCCCCTCGACTTACTTCTCGTTCTCTCCTTAGGTTAGGGAATTCGTCAACCCTTTCAGCAGGGATTCTGGATCAGTAGGTGATTGAAACTAATGCTCACTGCCCTGAGATGGTCGTAGCTTGTTGGTGTTGTGGATACAATCCTTTCTTCCCATCTGGAACTAGAGAGGTCTCTCGCTAATGTGATAAAACAGAAGCCATTGGTATGTGCATTGGGCTGGATAATCAGACGGCTTTGCATGAGTCACGGTTTCAGTCGAAATGGTCTGTTGTGGGTGGTTTCGTCTACTGGCCCCCTTCGGTACTGGGAGTTAACTTATGATTGCCCATTCGGCCGTCTGACAACCGCCTCGCCAAAACAATCCCCAACCCTGCCACTTTCCGTAGTTGTCCACTTTGGTCTCCCTTGCCTTTTTTTTCCACAGATTCCACCGACCGTAGCAGTTACCGGTGGTGGCTCTGTCGCCTTGGCCTAACGCACGCAGAAGCGCCTTACTGCGTGCGCGTGTGAGTGGAATTTCAGCAACGGTAGCAGTGTGCATTCGAGGCTCTTATTTTTTATCACCACCGTTTCCTCTTTTATGTGATCGGAATTCAAAGCTAAACCATATGCTCGTGCTGTTCGACGATGATTTGTTTGCCAAATTATCACACTCCATTAACGCCAACTCCTGTTCGTCAATTTAATCGAACTGGCGCTTGTGAAATTACCTACAGCAGGGCTATATTCCACCGACAAATTGGGCCTGGTTATCACCACCGCGTAAATAGCTCTGTCTACGCTCAGATTTGATTTCCCTTGGTAATTTCTCAATGCCAAAAACATGTCTCTCAAGGATTTATGGCAAATCTCGTAGCGTTACATTTAACCTTATTGTTTTTTTTTTAATGTGACAAGTAGTTACGCTTGTGAGCACTCTCCTGCCCTTTCTGACTAGATTATCACAAGGCATCTGCAGAATTTCTCTACCACTTGATCCTGATCGAATGAAAGTCGCCGTAGTTTAGACTACGCACCACAGATCTTCCGGGAAAGCGGCTATGTGTGTATGTGTTTGCCACCTTTTCGATGTATTACCTCAGCCTCAGTATCAAGAAAAGGTGGTTGGTTTTGGTGGTTTGGGGTTGTTTGCACGGCAGTACATTTTTAAATAAGCAAGCTCGACGGTATTTCTCTTTATGGGGCTTTGGCTCCTGCTGAGGCTCTCTAATTTACATACATTTGGTTTCCGATGAGGAATTAAACGCGGCGCCAGTCTGATTTTTATGTTGTGGTTGCATTTGCGTCTACGCCACGTCAGCATACGCTTTGGTCCAAATGTACTCAGATGCGGAGGTACAGCGCGGGTAAGCTTGATGTAGCCACGGGGTTATAAGTGAGCATCCTGACGCGTCTCGCCTGAATTGACGATGCCACGGTTGTCCAAGACCATTGTTTTTTTTTTAAATTTAGAACAGCCAATCTCGTACGACCTTCGACTCAGTGTAAAATTGAACCGGCTTTATTTGTACCACACACACACACACATTCGCATGCCCTGATTCGCTTCTTACTCGATAATGTCACATGGCAAGCCTAAAAACAACCGCTTCTGCCCAAATAGATACTTTGTAACTGTCTCCTGTTCTGCGGATTCGGATTTCCAAAACGTTCCAAGTCCTCTCCAGCCAATTTAGGCGACAGATAATGCGTGGCTGCTAATGAGCAAAAAGTGCAGCCTTCGGGCTGTTACAGAAGGTGTCCTTCGGCGCACCCAGGTGTCAGTAAATTGGCTGGGGCCGTACGTTCGGACCCAACAACCGATCTTATCCGCCTGCTGACCTTGTTAACTCCGGGGTCGTTCTTGTGGTCATAAATCGAGTTTGGTTCGGTGGGAGGGGGAGGGTTCGTTGGAAGTGCACTTCGCGTTATCTCAAGCCTTCATCACGCTTGCGCCCTGTTGGTCGACACGGCGACTTCAAATATTTTGCCACCTCTTAGACTGCATCCGTTATCTGGAACGCGCTTCGTCGTTCTGCTGTTCATTTTATGAAGCGAATCTACGTTGCGCTCTACGGATGGGTTAACGTGTGCGTGTCTTCCTGCAATCTACGGATAAGCATTCACTTCAATGCAATGCCATGTTTCTGTTGTAATGCAGTCTTGCTGGGTGAAATGACATTTCAGTAAAGAGGCCTTCCCGCTTTTCAGCTTTTGACGCTCTGCGATCGCGTGGTCTGTCGCCTGCAATCCCATCGACTTGTGCTACTATGGTGACTGCTGTGGAACGATCTCCTACTGGCCAAGGTGGAAAAACGACTTCCTGTTTCGACAACGTCTGGCTCTGTCCTTCACTCTCGTCTGGGTCTACGGGACTGCGATTTACCGGCGTCTCTGTCGTCGTTAATACCGGCCTGCGGCACCCCCTCATCCCCAGGCCCGATTTGGCCGGCTTCGGTGGCCTGCCCAGTGATCACTGCCCCGTCTACTTTGATTTAGCTTGCTCCGATTAAGGCCTTTTCTTATTTCCGTGAATCGTGTCAACTCTCCCTACTTTTCTTCTGTTTCCTCTCTGTTTTTAAAAAAAAATATTTTGAAACCTACGAAACTTAATTTACTTGAGCGTTTTTGCCAGGCAGTTGTTGTTTACGATTAAATCTGCGCATCCTTTAAAGCATTCTGTTTGACCACTTTTTCTCCTAAAAAACACCCACCACCGCGCTGTTGTGAGTCTGCGTTCGTTGTAAAGGGGCATAATAACATTTTGTTGTGTGTTAATGTAGTTGGGGGACATCTATGTGGGTGAGGCATGTAGTTGTCGCCAGTGGCGTCCTTCTCTTCAGAAACCAGTCTGTAATTGTGTGAAGATTCACTGGAACACAGAAACAAGGCCCCAATCGCAACTAATCTAACCCCCCTTGTTTGGCCCACCAACGATTTCCCGCACTGACTCAGCCCTAGGTCAGGCACACGTTCAGACGCGTCCACTTATGTACGACGAGGGCGGCCTTAAGTGCACTCAAAGATGAGCGGGCCAGTGGGAAGAGGGCGGCTGATGTGAATGTAAAAGTTAGTGTGCGTAAACACGATCAATAGTAAGAAACTGGGGTATTGAATTTCGTGGTCATGAGGGATGCTCAATCTTCAGCGATTTGTAACCGTGAGAGTCACCTAAGTACCTGGCTTCATTCTTATTGTGGGTGCTGAGATGCTTCGGTAGCTAGATTTTCTGGTTTGTAAAAAGCCAAATCCTGAGAATCTCGTGTCGCAAATTCTTCCGTGTTTTGGTTTCTGGCCTCTGGTGGACGATTTGCAGTGTGCTGCTCTGTCATTGGATTTCGCCAGAATGCTGCTGCAGAAACAGTTTCGTGATCTCCGTAGCCATTTACTAGTCATTCTAGAAGAGAGCAATTTGGGCAAACGCCACGGCGACCTTTGGAGATGCGTCGAGCAGCACCTTCTGCATCTAAGAAGAACGAGCGAGCTTACAAAGTTAACCCCTGGTGAACGTACTAGCTTTGAAATAAACACGAGACATCCAACAGCGTCTCCATTTGCTTGCTGCCATTCAGTTGAATGACAGTCGCTATCACCATGAAAGTTCAGTGTGATCTCAGGCTGGTTTTAGCACACTGCATTTATTATTCAACAAAGTGGCAAGCATATTTTCCCCCACCCATTGTCATTTTAGAAACAAAAATGCTGCTTAACCTCTTCCAGCATTGCCGATCGTGTGATTTCTAGGCGGAGGTAGCCGTGCATTCCGAGACCCATAATTTTGAGCGCTATTTATAATCCACCAGTCGGAGCAATCGAATTTGTCATTTATTTTAAATGGTATCATATCCGCTCTCTTAATGGTCAAAGCGAAATTCTGCAATTGGTTATCTAACGAAAGTGATTTTACTTTCTGGCTGGATGAACTTATCTGCTGAGGCCAAATTAATGGACTTAAAAGTACACCGAAAAGTTGTTTCCCAACTTACTGGTTTACCGGTGATGGGTTGCTTTGATGCAATAAAAAGGAAGATTTGCTCAAGTGTGCAAGTCAAATTGTTGTCGTGAGTTTGAAACGCGCGCGCTTCCAGTGATGGCCTGTTCAGCGCACACACTTCCCATGGCTGTTGCGATACCCTAAGGCGGACGTTCTCATAATGCGAGTTACTCAATGCCTCATAAGCATTTCAAATCACCATCATCTTTTGTGCATAAAAGACAAGGTTGCGTTATGATCTCGTGAAAAACTCAGTGCTTTTCAGTAGTATCTTTATCTGTCATCAACCAGATTTTCGGAATTTCGTATGCCACTGTTACGTTGCTCTACTGAAACGTCCGGCCTGCTTTACTCGTCACAGCTTTCACCACGGAACTAACATCAAGTTTATACTCTGCGTAAAATATGGCTTGCATGCACTTTTCAATTCTCCATTTTAATGACTCTCAAAACACGCTCAAATTGCTAAATTGACACTTTAATTGTTAGAACTGCAATTACAGGGCAACGTTATATATTGGCCTCGAGTTTGCACAGAGTACAATCGGGCGATTCTGCTTCCTACAATGGATCCCAGCCTGCGAATGCATTTATTTATGTCTGAGATCGGCAGCCTGCTGTGTGGGCGACCACGCAAGCATATTTTATGAATGGGCTAGTTTGTGCCGCGTTCCCCAAGGACAAGCAGTAGCCCCGTCTCATGCACACGCAAGCCTACAAGCTCACTTCCTATGTAAACACGATTTATTCGTATATTTTATAAAGTTAAGTGCCTTAGCCTGAAGGTTGATTAAACATGAATTATGGGTAATTAAATTAATAACACTCTCAGCTACCTCCTGCCGCCCACTAAGTCCATAAGTCTATTCTAGGGTGTATAGTATTTATTCCACTATGTCCTCAGTTAGCATTGATTCAACGCTCTAAGCTCAAACACAGCGCAATTTATTCGGAAGGAATTGGACGATAGGTTCCCGTAATTTTTTTTAATCATATCAGTCAACGTATTCCCCTAGATGTAGCAGCAATTCTTCAATTACTAAGTGAAAAGTTCTCAAGTCAGCGATGTCTTGATAATGAAATTAAAACGAGGCCCAGAAAAATTGTCACAATGAGTTAAAAGGCGAAAAATATTTCATGAAGAAGTTACAGTCAGGGTACAAATTGTCCCAATCTTTTCTGAAAGTAAAATTTGTTTTACTTTTCTCTAATGGTGCCTGCTGCCTCGAATTTTTTTACAGATAACTGACTTTTTTCCTGTTAATGGGTTTGGCTAAAATTAGACATCGAGTCAACGCTGAATAACAGCACTATTCATGGGAACTTAGAGGCACACTTGAGGGTTGAAAATGACGAAATCGTGTTCTTTCTGTATTATGCAACTAATGCTGTCACTACCTAGGAGAAAAGACCTTTGCGAGCCAATTTTAATGCGCGTTTTTCTCATGCAGGTGCATTGGCACTCGGGAAGGGATAGGTTCAATTTTTCCCGCCAATGCACACTTGAACCGCGTTGGTGTCGACTGGTGACGCGTTTTCTCGACTTTTGCACACAAGAAATCCGAAATCGAATATCTTCCCTGATTGACGTGGAATTCAACTAATCGTGGCATTGATTTTCCTTGCGTTGGTGAGACAATACATTTTGATGTACGAGGAGACAGTCTATTGAAATGGTGAATTCGGTGCTTGCATATGCAACCAATTTAAATGAGAAAGCGCAATTTTGAGTATGGTAATCGTCACGGGGTTTTAGTGCCTTCCACGATGCAGCGTGGGTTAGGGTTAGGTCATCAAAACATCAAGCAAGTTTGTTTGACCAAACAGATGCTTGTAAGTCAAGTTTAAAAAAGAATTACTGCTACAATCCTATTGCCGAGGTGCATTCTAATAAGTGGTAGCAGTGAGGATCGAATAGATTGTTGAAGAAACGTCTGGTAATTTGTTTCAAGAAGAATGGGACAACTCTTTGCTACCTTGCTAGTAGGGAAGAACACCAATAAAAGAAATTTAAATGGATGCATCAAGCGGAATCCTGCGTGCGCTTTGACTCAAAGCGGACGTGACATCTGCGTTGGAAAAAATAGGTGAACTTGTTACTTACGTTATGGCTATTTTCAAGGTTCTAGTTTGCAAAAGTGTATTAAGGGCGCACTCTGCGTAGTATGTGTGCTAATACTTCGTTTTTGCGTCCTTCAAGCAATCATATTTTGAAAGACGCGACGTCGTGGGGAGTAAATGAGGAGAAAGCGTGCATAATGCAAAATTTCGTGCTTGTGGTATGCAATGATCTATCAGTAAGCCTCAGTATCTGCTAGTCGTTGAGCAGTTTGATAAGGAATTAATAAAAGGTTTTTGTCATGGGAACAGATCGACCACTCACAATCGAGTTTTTTTGCGTTATCTTCTATAACGGCCATGCTGTACTAAGATTTGACCGAAGCTGCCAAAAACGATCCTGACTGCCAAAATTACTTTCACCAGCAAATCTGTATTAACTAGAGTAGTTATGGAACCAGTTGAGATTACAAAACTTATTTGAATTTAAATTAAGCTAATCAGAAGTTTTACAATGTCTTGCACTGATAGGAGATCAAAGTTTGACGCAATAACAGAGATTCGAGACAGGACTGCATCCTCTAAAGATACCTCACAGGCCTTTGTAGTTAGCCATTATAGGAAGACCTTGAAACAGATGGCGAATTGCAGCAGGACCGACAAACATTGAAACGCAGTCTATGTGTGTCGTGTAAGGTGTAGGTAGAGTAGGAATATTCGGAATACGGAAAGCGTTTTTATTTGAAAATTTATTTCACCTTGTAGACACGATTGACATAGCCCCGATTTCTGTTGTTTTTATCACAAATGGTGTCGACTGATAATTGTTGGTGGCATAAGTAGTTGCTTTCACACAAAATGAGTTTTTTTGCAGAAATTGGGTAATTCCGAAGTAGGTAAGTAACTTCACCTGCAACTGTCAAATCTATAATTCGTCAGCGCAAAACGAGAAGGATTAC